CGCTCTCTCCCACGCACCCCCACCTGCCTCGCCCGACCCTCTGGGGCTGCGCGGGGACCTGAACCCCCAGCAGGACCCAGCCCTGTGGTCCGAGTCCCCCTCCTGGTGCTGGGCCGCTGGGCCTTGAGCTCAGTCACAGGTCCGATGGGGGAGGCTCATGGAGCAGGACAGCAGGCCGCCGAGTTCTGGGGAGCCCCGAGGGCCGTCGCTCGGCTGCTGGGGGACGGAGCCAGGGGGTCCGCCCTGGCTGTGAACAGGCAGCGGGCGGAGTGGTGGCCTCTGTCCCACGGGGATGGCGGTCACAGGGACCCCGTGACCAGACGGCGATGGAGAGGGTCCCCCGGGCAAAGGCAGAGTGTGTCTCGCGTGCTGTTGGGGGGCAATGCTCCGAGCAGCAGGCCAGCCCGGGTGGTGCGTGGTCTCGGCTCACACGGGGGACAGGTCCACGCCGTGGGCAGACTGGCTGCTCTTGTCCCAGGGGCTGAGCTTGGAGGAGGCTGTGCCCGGCCGGGTCCCGTTCATCTGCGGGACGCAGGGGAGTGAGGAGTGAGGCCCTGCTCCAGGGCCAGAGACCTGAGCCCCACGTGAGTGCGGGAGCGAGCCTTGGGCCTTGGGCCTTGGGCCAGAAAGCTGCCTGAGGGTCCTCCCTGTGGGGGCCCCACTGCTCCCCAGAAATGAGGATCTTGAACTGGAGAGGGCGCCCTTCTCCCACCTGCATCATCCCTTCCAGGTTCTGGTGTGCATTCATTCACTCCTGCATCATCCATCCATCCATCCATCCACCAACCTGCTCTTGTACCCATCCATCCATCCATCCATCAATCCATCATCCATCCATCCATCATCCATCCATTCATCCATCCATCCATTTATCCATCCATTCATCCATCCATCCATCCATCCATCCACCAATCCATCCATCCATCCATCCATCATCCATCCATCCATCCATCCATTCATCCACCAACCTGCTCTTGTATCCATCCATCATTCATCCATCCATCCATCCATCCATCCATCTATCCATCTATCAATCCATCCATTTATCCATCCATCCATCAATCCATCATCCATCCATTCATCCAATTATCCATCCATTTATCCATCCATCCATCCATCCATCATTCATTCACTCCTGCATCATCCATCCATCATCCATCCATTAATCCATCCATCATCTGTCCATCATCCATCCATCAATCAACCTGCTCTTGTATCCATCCATCCATCCATCATCCATCCATCCATCCTTCATTTATTCATCCAGGACAGAGGACAGGATGTGGGTGTAACATTGGCCCAGGGTGTGTAGGGTCCTGCAGGCCAAGGTCAGGTGTGAGAGGTCAGGTGTGAGGGGTCAGGTGTGAGAGGCTGAGCAACAATCTCCAGCACCCCCCCCGCCCCCCCCCCCATTGCCTGGCAGACGCCTGCACAGCAGGAGCCCGGGGAGGAGGGACCCGGAGGCTCAGGGTGAGGAGCCCAGGGCCTCAGCTCCACGCAGCCCTCGGTCAGGCAGAGGCTCCGCGCAGCCAGCAAGCAACCTGTGTCCATCTGACGGACCCTTCAGGGGTCATGGGGTCAGGGGTGCGGGCGCCCAGGGCGGCCGGAGCGACACCCCACTCACCACGTCGGAGCTGAAGGGCTTCGGGTTGGCGTTGCGGCTGGAGCTGCTCGTGAGGGACCAGACCTTGGTTTTATGCTTGAAGGCGGCTCTCACCTTCGGGGCAGAACGGGGTTCGTTAGCAACAGCGTCAGGGTTGAAGCAGGAACCATCGGGGCTCCCTGAGGCAGCCTCCTGCCCGCCCCCCCACACCCTGCCTCCCTGCAGGACATCCTGAGGGCGGAGGCTTGGAGGTTGCTTAGCAACAGGAAGAGATGGAGGGGCTGAGGGGAAGCAGCCCACCGTTCAGACTGTCACCCCCACCTGAGCTCCCTGCCCTTTCAGAAATGAAAACCCGCCCGGCCACCAGGGCTCAGTGGTTAGAGCATCAACCCATGAACCAGGAGGTCAGGGTTGGATTCCTGGTCGGGGCACAGGCCCGGGTTGCGGGCTCCATCCCCATTAGGGGACCTGCAGGAGGCAGCCGGTCAGTGATTCTCTCTCATCATTGATCTCTCTCTCTCCCTCTCCCTTCCTCTCTGAAGTCAATAAAAAAAGTACATATTTTTAAGAAAAGAAACGAAAACCCGTTTCCCGCCTGGAGGGAGCGGGTGCTCTGGGGTGTGTGAGGAGGGAGGGGCATCATGTGACCCACGGTCATGTGACCTGGTGGCAGGCAGCCGCTAGGACCAGGGGTGGGGGCCGTGCTGGGGCCAAGATTCAGGGACAGGCTCCGCCTGGGAGCGGGTGTGTGTGTGTGTGTGTGTGTGTGTGAGGCTGGTAGGCTGCCCTCTACACGGGCCCAGAGGGCACCCCAGGCGCCCACCTGCAGGGAGTTGAGGATGGCGAACGCGTACTGGAAGGCCACCGCCTGGCTGTTGACGGCCAGCACCCCGAAGACCCAGGAGGTGCCCAGGATGGGCAGCAGCACAGCCACCGCCTTCGCCGTCAACCTGGCGGAGAGAGGGTGA